TAGGCAATAATGAAAAGACGGAGTTCACACCTCACCAATAGTGGGGGGTCATGCCCCGCTGGTGCTATATTCATGCTAAGAGAGTCTGAACCTGGTGCTGTTTCTCACCCGATCATGATCTCGAAGCACAAACACAGCACTGACGACTGGATTGTGACCATTAGCAAGAGGGTTTTGTTTGGTAGCCCATAAGCTCACTATTGTTTTACGAGATGAACCTGGTTATGGTAAATCAAACCATCTTCTGGAATTGCTCAAGCGCACATGTAGCACCAGTGGCGCAGTGGGGATCAGTGGGGCGGGGCAACATTATCCACCCGAGCTATTCAACACACACTGACAGAAGGTGATCCCAAACCTTACCACAAGAAACAGAGGTATAGACATCTGCGATAACAGACATGGATCCTTTTCAAACAACTTTGAAGAATCTGAAACCACAAATTCTACACAGAAGAGGATCGTTGGCACAGATGAGGGAAATAGACGGAGGTCAAATCCACGTACCTGCTGTTCCTGTATGTCTCGAAGTGATGGAGTAGATGTTTCCCCTGGACTACGGCCCCATGGAAGGACCACCTCATCTGGTGGGCCACCTTTCTTCCCCTTTGCCACTCCACGAGCCTTCCTCGGTGCACCTTTTATGGCAATTGGGGCTGACTTCTTCTTGAGAAAATCTGAGAGGGCAATGCGATGCTGGCCACTGTCTGGATCTTCAAGACCAGATTGCACTGGACAAGTTCCTTTCTTCCCCAGTTTTCCAAGGCCGCCGCCAGCTTCTGTGTCTTTTCTTGTACACAGGTTGCTAGTGGATGAAGGACCCGCTGTAGCTGGCACCACAACTCCTCGTAGCACCTTAGAGTAGTGGGCTCCACCATTCCCTTGCTCTATTTGAATAGTACGTAGCGATTCACCTTTGAGCTGATTTGCTAGACCCAGACCCCCCCAAGCAGGTCCTTGGGCCTTGGGTTTCGGAGGAGGAAGAGGTGAGGGGGTTGGCAGAGCATCTAATTCCCCTTTTAGAAAGACCGACGAACCCCCTTTCCTGCGTCCCAGAACCTTAAGTGGCCTCACCGATGTTGCTGGAGGCTCAGCTGCAGTTGAAGACTGTGATCCCATTGGAGACATCTCCACAGGGGTAACTGTGCCACCAGTGGCACCCACTGAAGAACCGGCCATTCTTCCCCCATCACACTGTGCCCTGTCCATAACCAAGAAAGGCACTCCTGCCGCAGCACATGTCGCATAATCCAGCTGCCTAACAACCTGAAGAGATGCCAACAGAAAGCACAAACAATCTCAATTGATTCAGTACCAATCTGCAGCAATCACAATTCCACAGCAGAATGTTAACTTTGCATCCCCTATGTTTTGTAATGTAAAAGAATCGGGCCCCACAGCAGTAGAAGCTCTGGCATTGGTCTCCAATATGGGTAGCTGATGACAACCCCTATGGGCCCGCGACAGGAAGTTAATACAGGGTCACGGGACAGTAGCAAATCTGAGTCCGTAGCGGTTCCACTACAGGCGTAGCCCATGGAAAAAGAAAATCTAGGAAAAAAAGGATTGCCATGATCAGCTGATTTCATGATGCAAAACTCAAATGTGAGACAATGCCATTCATTGACTCAAATAGAAGAAAAATGAGTCAAGGAGAGAAGATGGTGGAGGAAAGAAGAAGACGAACAAGAACAACAATCACAAAGTTGGAACCACTGCTATCTCTCACCATCATCATCTCTCCCTCATCATCACCTCCTTGTGTTCAATGAGAACAAACCACAATCACAACGAGCGAAAGGATAAGAAATTAAGAATCAATGCCTGAATGATCCCCCTTACTGCCAGACTTGAAAGAGCTTTTCTTTAGCCCACTCCAATAGGTATGGCAGTAAAACCTGAGCTACCTCAGATGTTCAAAGGGCCATGCAACTGCTCTCATGCCGTCACCTCTCCACTACTGCAATGCCTGTCCCCCAGAAGAAGTCCATGCCGTCACCTCTCCACTACCGCAATGCCGGTCCCCCAGAAGAAGTCCAATCTTCATGTACTTCGGTGGCTGCTGACGTCAACAGTTGCATTGTCAATTCGTAGGCTGGAAGCAGTTGTGGGATAGTAGTCTGGGCACTGAGCGCCAAGTAGGGGGACGGGCTCTGGATACGTATGTGGGGGATGGCGAGATTAAACTCAATTGACACTTGGATTCAGTGTTTCGGTTCTCCATTCGTGTGATATTGGTGCAATTCTGTTTTCTGTGACAGTGTGGAACTTTCTGGTTCTCGATATGATCGTGCAATCTGGATTCTGTTATTTCGCTATTGCTCATTTTCCTTGCACTTTTGTCTTTCTCTTTGATTTAAATTTTCTCTTTTTCTCCAAAAGCTTGAATTATCTTATCCCCTACTTCTTTTCTCATTTTTCTGATTTTTAAAAATTAATTTATTTTAAAATTTCCATTTTTTTTCTGCGGCGCCTCTATAGCTTGTTAGGACTCAGTCATTCTTGCTTTCGGTGTACATTTTGACCCCTTGGGGATAACGAAGTGCTGCCGAAATTTCTGTTTTTCCTACTGAGTCTCTTTTTCAGCACATTTTGACCCCTTGTGGGTAGCGAAGTGCTACCCAAATTTTCCCATTTTACTTGGTCATTCTTCTTGACACCACACTTCGTAACGAAATGCTGCTGAAATTTTTGAAAAATTCAAACTTAGTTTTCTCTTCTACGTTACCAGCTGTCCGATTGGGAGTTGTCTCCCCCAGACATCTTTGGGAGATGGTCGAAAGGGAGTTGTCCGAAAAATCGGACAGCGACTTTTTTGCCACGTGGAAAAAAAACAAAAAAGTGGGAGGGGGGTCTGCGCACTGCCAGGGGACCTCCCCCAAAAAAATTTGGGGCCATTCCGCACAAAAACGGAAAAAAAATTAGAAACAGGCTTTGGGGTGTGTGGGGGGGGTGGGGCTGGGTGGTTGATTGATTGATTGAAAAAAGAGAGGGGAGGGCCGGCGGAGTGGTCGGGTGGCCAATCACTTCGTCCCACTCCTCCTCCTCCTCCCCCACCATCGTCAGGGCCTCCTCCTACTCCTCATTCTCCTCCCCATCCTCGTCATCTCTCCTCCTCCACCTCCTCCCCCGCTGCCACCGCTGCTGCCGCCACCTCTTCCTCCTTCAGCCCCGTCGGGCCTCCTCCTCCTCCTCCTCCTCCTTCGTTGTCATCCGCCTCTTCGTCTTTCTCCTCGTCCTTCTCCATCGCCTCCTCCTCTTCCTCCTCCCCCTCCTCCTCGTCCTCCAGAGCCGGCACCTCCTCCTCCTCCTCCTCCTCCTCCGTTGTCATCCTCCTTGTTGTCATCCTCCTCATTGTCTTCCTCCTCGTCCTTCTCCATCGCCACGGCCTCCTCCTCCCCAGATTCTTCTTCTTCCTCCTCGTCCGGCCAATCCTTGTGCCCCTACTCGTCTTTTGTTTTTGTTAACGACCTCCTCCTTCCCCTTTTTTTTTGTGTTTTTTTTTGTTTTTTTTGTCCGATCAATTAATCAATCAATTGATCGATCGAAGATCCCATCGACTCGATTGAATCGATAGGATCTTGACATATCAAGAGCCTATCGAAACAATCGATTCGATGGGATCTTTGATCAATCGATTGATTGATTGATTGATTGATTGATTGATTGTGATTGATTGATTCATTATGATTGATTGATTGATTGATTGATTGAAAAAAGAGCGACCAAAAAAAAAAAAAAGTGCGGGGAGGAGGAGGCTGTTATCGTATCGGTGAGGATGGGGAGGAGAACGACGAGTAGGCGGACAGGTATTGGCGGGACGAGGAGGAGAAAGAAGAAGCGGTGGAGGAGGAGGCCGTGGCGATAGAGAAGGACAAGGAGGAAGACGAAGAGGAGGACGACGACGATGAGGAAGAAGAGGATGAGGAGGAGTACGAGGAGTAAGAGGAGAAGGAAGACGAGGAGGAGTATGAGGAGGGCAAAGAAAAGGAGGAGGAAGAAGAGGTGGAGGAAGAGGAGACCACGATGACGGAGGAGGAGGGAGAGGAGGAGGAAGAAGAAGACGAAGAGGAGGAGGAGGAGGAAGAAGAAGAAGTGGAGGAGGAGAACGAGGAGAAGGAAGAGGCGAGGAGGAGGAGGAGGAGGACGGAGAAGAAGAGGAATGCGACGAGGAGAAGGAGGAGGACGAGGAGGAGGAGGACAACTAGGATGGGGCCGAAGTGATTGGCCCTGGCGATGGAGGAGGCCCCCACGATGGAGGAGGAGGAGGAGGAGGAGGCTACGGCAATGGAGAAGGAGGAGGAGGTAGAGAACTTAGAGGATGAAGAAGAAGAAGAGGAGAAGGAGGAGGAGGAGGAGGAGGAGGAGGAGGAGGAGGAGGAAGTAGAAGAGGAGGAGGACGAGTAGGAAGAGGAGGAAGAAGAGGAGGAGGAAGATGAGGAGGAGGAAGAAGCGGAGGAGGGCCCAATGATGGAGGAGGAGGAGGAGGAGGAGGAGGAGGAGGAGGAGGCCACGACGATGGAGGAGGAGAAATAAGAAGAGGAGGAGGAGGAGGAGGAGGAAGACGAAAAGGAGGTCGAGGAGGAGAGGTGAAGCAGGAGGAAGATAGGAGAAGTGGAAGGGGGAGGAGGAGGGGGGGGGAGGGAGAAGGAGGAGGAGGTGGACGAAGGGAAGGTGGCTCACCTGGCGTGGGCGGGCGATGGCGCATGGGGTTGCGCTCGTCGACGTCGGAGTTCAGCAATGGCAACACTGAACTTCGGAGACAGTGCGAGGGCCAAGACGTGCGGGGGAGAACGCCAGTGCCCCCAATTTCGAATTTGAAAATAGCCCAATCTGGGTCGTCGATCTGCAAGATCGACGGCCCGAATTAGGCCTTTTTTTTCGCTTTTGGAGGCCCTACCGGCCTCCAACAATGCTTCCCGCCGACGCTCCGGGTTCTTCGCCTGTCCCCGCAGTCCACCCGTCCGCCACCGAAGTTTGTGTCCTAGACCCCCCCGATTTTTTTTTTAGATCGGTTATCCGATCGGACAGTCCCAGACAGTCAGGGGGTCCCGGACGTCCGATCAGGTAACATAGCTTTATTTATTTTTCTGAAATTATAATTTGCAGCATTTTGAAACTTAGTGTGCTTCTCTTGGTCTCTCCTTCCTCTTGGCACGTTTGCGCCAAATGGGGGAGTGGGAAGGTAGCGGGAAGCGAGACGATCGCAGGGAGGGAATGACGTCGGGAGGGCGCAGGTGGGTGATCGGGATAGTGAGCGCGTGTAAAGCACAAGGGGCGTGACGGGGCCACGCGGGGGGGACCAGTGATTGGGCGCGATCCTGACGATTCGGGAGGGAGGGGAATGGGGCTCAATACGGG